AAAGTTTTGATTATCATGATGTATTAAACCCAATTTTTAATTTTTATTGTTTGAGTTTGCTGTAATTTTTTTTTTTTTCCATGATCGAATTTTTTGAAAAATGATGATTTTCCAAAAAGATGTGAAAATCGTGACAAGGTTTTAATTATCATGAGGTATTAAATCATATTTTAAATTTTTATTGTTAAAGTGTTTGTTGAAAAAATTGTATGTTGATGGATTATTTATGCAAAAAAATGCATGTTATTATATTTTTAATGCAAAACTGTATTTTTTTTATCTGTTGTTCATGGATTTTTTAGTTGGAATGACTGATGTTAGCTGGCTCTTTGAAGAATTGTTTTTATTATTAATTTTTTAATGCAAAAAATGTATGTTCTTGATAATTGAGTTGTAGCCATGTTTGGAGCTTGCATTTTGTATTATATTATTCTGAATGTTTGTAATTGATATGTACGAAAATATTATTGTCAAAAAAGGTATTTTGCAATAACAAATAACAACAAATATGACTACATGAACTACTGCAACATATTATCACTACACATGGTGATTATTTTTCTTTTTGAACTGTCAGGTTAATTTTATACTTTTTACGTCTTAAAATAGTTGAATCATGTCAAGATCTGCAGAAGACCCTGCATGGCAACATGGGGTCAGACTTGATCCCAACAAGAAAGACAAAATTATTTGTAATTACTGTCAAAGAGTGATAAGTAGTGGGGTACATAGGTTCAAGCAACACTTGGTAGGGGTTTAGGGAGAAGTTTCTGCATGCACTAGTGTCCCTAATAATGTAAAAAAACAGATAGTGGCAATTCTTAATGCTAACAAAGGTAAAAAAATTGCCAAACATAGGATGGATGAGGAGATAGCTAGTTTATATACACCATCAAGCAGGAATGATACAGAAGAGCAATATAATAATGACCTAGAAGAGCAATATAATGATGAGCTGGACATGGCCACAAGATTGAGTTTACATGAACAATATCAGAGGGAACGTGTGTTTAGAATGCTCAGTGGGTCCAGCTCAGACATGCATGGTGGGCCTAGCTCCGATATGCATGGTGGGCCTAGTTCAGATATGCATGGCGGGCCCAGCTCGAGCATGTATGGCGGGCTCAGCTCAAATATGTATGGAGGGGTTGGTGGCAATATGTATCAAGGAGAATCAGTTGTTGAAGAAATTGTTTCTAGGTTACCTAGGAGTGCCAGTATTGCAGGTCATGGTCGTAAAGACCCATTTCTCTCAAAGCATAAGTCACAACAGATGACCCTAAAAGGCATGGTTAAAGGTACAAGAAACATGTTAGGGAGATATATTGGTAAATAGTTCTACGATAAAGGGATTCCCTTTGATGCAGCCAATAGCCCATATTTTCCACCTATGATTAGTGCAATCCAGAGAGTCGGGCCCGGGGTCAACCCCCGACGGCATATGAGCTCAGTGGGCCAATATTAGATGAAGAGGTGGAGGAAGTTAAAAAGTAGATTGAAGAATATAAACAGAGTTGGCCAAAGACAGGAATTACTCTCATGAGTGATGGTTGGTTGAATAAAGTTAGCAAAAAGGAGTTTTTAAACTTCTTGGCTTATTCTCCAAAAGGTACAGCTTTTTTGTCTAGCAAAGACGTATCAGGGACGAAGAAGGATGCAAATTTCTACGTACGACTATACGATCAGATAGTGGAGGAGGTGGGAGATAAGCATGTAGTCCAGTTTATTACGGACAATGCGCGTGCATGTGTTTCTGCGGACAGCAAGTTGATGAATAAGAGGAAACATTTAGTATGGACCCCTTGTGCTGCACACAGCATCGATCTTATGTTAGAGGAGATCGGTGAGATCAAAATTGTGAAGGAGACTCTAGAGGAAGCAAGGTTGGTGTTGAGATTTATATACAACCACTCTAAAATTTTATTTCTGTTTAGAGAACACTCTAAGAAAAAAGAGATAATCAGGCCTGCCATAACCCGCTTCGCGACCGATTACTTAGCTGTGGACTCCATTCGAGAATCTGAAGGTGCATTAAATAGATTGTTTACTTGTGAAGAGTGGTTACATGACCGCCTCTCGAAGTCCAGTACCGGTATAAAAGTGGACAACATAATCTCAAATAGGCTGTTCTGGTCTCGATGTTCCAGTGTTGTAGAGGCCACTGCCCCTTTGGCCACGGTGTTAAGAATGGTGGATGCTGACAAGAAAGCTACCATGAGTATCCTTTATGAAGGTATTGAGAGGGCGAAATCAGCTATTGGGGAGAAGTGTAATTTTGCTAGCAAAGTGATCGAGATTATAAAAAAGAAGTGGAACACGAAATTTGGACGTCCAATTCATTATGCTGGTAAATATATATTTATATCATTACAATGTTTCAGTTTAAATCATTTTTTTACGAAATTGTAAATGACATTTTTCTACCTATATATTTTTTAGGTTACTACTTCAACCCAAAATTTTTCTATTTGACACCTGAATAACCCCACAAGATTATGGAAGGGGTCAGATACATTATTGCCAGGTTGGAGAGAAGCCATCGAAACCGAGTAGCAGCAATACAAGAGGTATTATTTAATGTTTGGGTAAGAACTTCATTGAGTTGTTATATTTGTGAGGAATAATGCACTAAAACGTAATATATTTGTTTTAGCTTGCTATGTATAAGGATGCTATAGGATCCTTCGGAACTAGACTTGCCAGAAATTCTCGAACTATGATGGATCCGGATTATCCCCTCGCTAATATTTTGTTCATTCATATATTTAATCTTATGAATTGTTCTTGCCCTTACAATGCTTTTTACGTTTTAATCCAGCTGAATGGTGGCAGATATATGGTACTGATGCACCTCACCTAAAGATGATAGCAATCAAGGTGCTCTCTCAGACATGTTCTGCTACTGGCTATGAGCGCAACTGAAGTACGTTCCAATGGTTGCATACTATTAGGAGGAATCGACTCGCTTCTGATAAGCTTCATAAACTAGTATACGTTCATTATAATTTAAACCTCAGAGAGCGACAAATAAGAAGGAAGCTTGAAGACTATGGGCCGATAGACTTAGACACAATATTTGTCACAGATACAGCAGACCAATGGGTAGTAGAAGAGGAGGAGCCAGTGTTGCACAAGAGAGCGTTCCTTGAGGCTATCGATGATGAAGATATTGAAGAAAAGTGATGAGCAACATGAAAGAGGAAGCAGCCAGCCAATGTATCCACAATATGTCGGTGATATTGCACCTAATGAGGGAGAGTGGGAAGGGGGTCTAAGAGAAAATGAGAGAGATGATGATTCTGCGGCCACTCTATCCCAGCCATATTATTCACATATCGAGTCCCAACAGCAACAGTATAGGGATGAGCACGACAGTGCAAGTGAGCATGAAGGATGGACAAGCTTCGGGGATTTTGGATTGGGAACACAACAAAACACTAACACTCAGGGATTTGGGAATAGTCAGATGCCTGCTAATATTGATGATTCGTTTTTAGATCGAATCAGTGAATTGTCAAACGAATTCAATCAATGGCACCAGCGTGACCAAGAAGAACAACAACGTCGTCTATCATTTTATTTTTAGATCGTTGTTACTAATTTTATGCTTTATTGTAGTCTATGTATGTTGATATACTTATTTCATGATAATTCTATGTTTATCCTTTTGTGTGATGTAAATTAAATGCTGAATGGCGGTTCATGCAGGGAAAGAACATATCAATATTCGCATATTCATTTAAAAACATGAAAATTCTTAATGGAATATCCTCATTTCTTATTGAATTCCTAAAAAATAATATTTATAATGAATTTTAATAATTTTTTTGGATTTTTTTGAAGCTTTATTCTGACCGATTCACCCGATTCTCGATCCGGATCGTCGATTCGCCGATCCGGATAGGTTTTTTGGGAGCCCGATTCGAGTCACCGATCCATTTTTTAAACCATTGTTAGCATCTATATTAGTGCCCCGTGATAACATTAAAATAAAATAAAAGAGTACTTGTATATCATATAACACCAAATTACCCAACAAAATTGATCGACCGTTGATTTTTTGAATTGCGTATGTACAAATGCGCCGCATGAAAACAATTTTCCATAAATATGTATATATATAAAAATATTTATATAGCTTTGAGGCTCTAAACAATCAAATTGGAGCTCACCTAAAATTTTTTACTAGAAGTAGTTGTTTTGATGCCCAAATATCTTCAAATTAATCATCTCGACATAAAGATGCATTGACATGAGAAAAAAATGAATTTCAAAATTTGGAAATAGTACATCTTGCAACGTATTTTCCGACTGTCAATTTTTAAGATTTTCGTAGATTGGCTCGATCCACACTATTTTTGAAGCCTTAAATTTTATATTAAAAATAAAAATATATTTTAAAGCTATCACAAAGATCTTAAGTGTTGAAACCACATTCTCATTACTATTTAAAGGTGGGCTCTAATTTGATTGTTTTGAGCCCCTTATTCAGATACAATACCTTTTTCTAACTATCATAAAACAAGATCACTGTATTTTGATTGAATTTTTTAAATAAAATGAAGAAAACATTAAATAATTCATCTCGAGATTATAAAAATTTGGTCCGAACTTTTTTTCTATTTGAACAAACTATTTTCCTTTGATAATGTCTAGAAACTATAGGGGTATTTGTGTCACTCTGCTGACCTCGAAAAATATAAAATTCCGTTTTCTTTTCACTAAACGAGAATCTCTGCGATCTCTCTCTCTCTCTCGATCTGTTTTTCTCTCTCTCCCTGTCTCTCTGTGATTTGATCTCTCTCTTGATCTCTTTCTCTGTCTCTCTGTGATTTTGATAAACGGAAAGTGAAGATGCTAGCAGTTTTTGAAAAATCGGTGGCCAAATGCCCGCAAGAACTGAAAAGCCCCCTCTCTGATGAAACCGCTGTGAACAATGGCCATGTTTTAATCGATCACTTCTCTTCCAATGTACCAGGAAGTGTGTGTATAAAGCTTGGAGTTGCAGGTTCAATGGTTTACACAGCGGACAAACAAAACCCACTTCTCCCAAGGTAAAAATCAAAGCCCCCAATTCTTATTTCACCGTTATAACAAAACCTCATCTCTTGTTCCTCTTTTTAAAAGTAATTTTCATCAAACTAACTCTCTCTCTCTCTCTCTCTCTCCTCTCTCTCTCTCTCTCTCTACTCTCTACTCTTACGTTACGTACGTTCGTCGTTCGTTACGTTCGTTACGTTCGTTACGTAGTCGTTACGTTCG